TCTCTCTGTCTCTCTCTCTCTGTCTCTCTCTCTCTCTCTCTCTATCTCTCTCTCTCTGTCTCTCTCTCTCTCTCTCTATCTCTGTCTCTCTCTCTCTCTGTCTCTCTCTGTCTCTCTCTCTCTCTCTCTGTCTCCCTCTCTCTCTATCTCTGTCTCTCGCTCAGAAAATAATGATCTGCTCAAAAGTAGAGTTGCATACCAAAGCCTCGTCCTGTAATTTAGCGAGTAAGAAGAGGAGAGCAGTAAATGAATTTAAACAGAGCAGCAGATGAATGGAAAAGAAGAAGCAGTGATGGAAGCTGTTGCTTTCATTCACCTTTGAGAAAGATGATAAACGCACATAAGTCTGTTTTTGCATAAGAAGCCTGACATTGACAGAAGCTCACAATCCTTTTTAAAGAAACATATTTAATATGCCACTGTAAATATCATTTGAACTGATAGCTTTGTATGTATATTTTGTGGGTACATCTTGGTAAACAGCAGGTTGTGCAGTCAAAAATGAATGAATGAATGGGATTATTATTGTTATTGTATCTGAATCTGTTTTTAAAGGGTTTTGAATTCAAACGAAGTCATTTATTTACTGTAAGACATGAAAACTATATTTGTTCAGGACTGTTAGTAACAAGTATACGTAAACATAATGATTTCTGGTGAATGATCAAGTGTAATTTAGCATCAGGTAACGAGGCAAGTCAAACCATATGTTGAGTCAGAAATATAAATATATATAACAAAAAAAGGATTGAGAGATTTTTGTGACAATACTCGTTTGTGGTGTAAACGTTCAAATATAAAAGACTTTTCAAAATGAAGGCCTACGTTGAGGCTGCTTTGTTTATTGAATGCAGTCATTCTGGGTGATTGTAGGCGTTGACCCGCCGAGCCGCGGTTTGAATGTCTCACAAACACACAAAGGAGGCTTCTCTCTCTGCCCAACATCTCTACATGTTTGTTTCAGGCCTGTACAGAGCGAGCTGGTGAAATGAGAGAACACAGAGACGGAGAAGCAATTTCATGCTCTGCAACGCTTTGAACAGCGCTGATAGCGGCGCGTCTCGCAGTATAAATTCACCTCCAAAGACTTATGAATATGGATTCAGTTGTCCCACTCACTTGAACCAATGAGCTGCTGCACCCCCCCCCCCCCC